CTTCAAATTGTTATTGAGATACATCAGAATTTAGAATGGAGTTAAAACAGATACATGATCAGAATGCTAAAGAGAAGTCAAGATCTATATTTTGTGAGGCACCATGTGGAATTTCACAAACAATATAGAATTTAGAATAATTGTGTGACCTACAGCTTGGGCAACTAGGAGATCAATAGCTCAAATGATGTGACAATCATTATTTTATTAGCTAACTAATAAAGTAATGCAGACCACTTGAGGCTCATCAAGTCACTGCAGCTAGGACAACTTAGCCAGTAGGTGTAACTCTAGAACACTGACATTCAGTGTGGCTGTTGATTATTGCTAGGAATTCTGACATATCAGTAAGCTGAAAGATTGTTTGTTTATTTTTAGAGCAAAGCCACATTGAGCTATTATATCCACAGAGGTGGAATCAAACCTTGATTTTAGCATTGTAAGTCCATACTCTTAACGCTGTCCCAGCAGGGGACAAGCTGAAAGAACTTTGCAATTGTAAAAACATTCAAGTTAAACTAAACTAAACTATACAAGTAATATTGGCATATAATCGAGAGACTTCTTGTGTGCACGTGTGTGTGAGCCTATAGATTACGTTTACACATGATACCACAATTCTGAGTCTGGTAGGTTTTCATCAGTCTTCCAGGTGTAACGTAAGAGTTGGTTCTTAAATAGCAAAAGAAGAAACATTTGAATTGTGATAAGTCAGGATGGATAAGCCATTGTTCCAATGGATTTTGCCCAAGTATGGCAATAATATGTGGACAGCATTATGGATGTAGATAGTTGGCTATAAGAGTAAGTGTATTTTACTGTTTTCCCTGTTACAAGTCCTACATTACTCTATCAGTATATTGGTGTACACTATAGTTGACAACACGAATTATGATTCAAGTTACATCAGTTGCATTTAAGGGGATCATTTTGCTCTGAATTTCGCCTGTGATTATGCAACTTTTGTGTAATCCCCAAAAAATTGAATTTATAAATTCACACTTGATGATCATGATGACAGAAAACAAGGATATAGGTGTTGATAGTCATTATTTACCACAGCCGAGTCATTGCCAGTTTTTGTTATAGTATAAGTACATACATTCATTTAATGTGTAATGTTGTTCCATAGATATATGGCAATCACATTAATATAAATATACAGAGCACAGTTTTCATGGAACAAAGAACTGTTTGTCTGATGTTAAGCACAATGACTGATCTGTGCTCTGCCCACCACGGGTATTGAAACCTGGTTTCTAGTGATTTAAGTCCGCAGACATACCGCTGTGCCACTGGAGGGCAACAAAGAACTGTAGCCAGAATATTGAGATGTATGTGTTTAGTTGTATTATAATGTGCAAAATTACACCTATACCGTGTCCATTGCAGGAATCGAACCACAGATTTTGACTTTGTAAGTCTGTAAACTTACCACAAACCCACTGGGGAACACTACGGTGATCAAGTTGCACCTTATTAAGATACAAATATAGCAACTTTTTACTTAATGATATTGAATGATATATTTGGTTTATTTTGAAATTTAGTTCTTCATAACAGATGAAAGTTTCTGTATATTCTGCACTACAAAAATGAAGAAATATAATTTACTCAGTGATTGGTGGTGGTGTAAGCTATGTTCTATTAGGAATAAGAGAAAATTTTATAGGCCTCACAACTTTGTCCAATTAAAATGAAATCATGATTATTACTTTTTAAAAATAAAATAAAAATTATGTATCCAGTTTTTGTAGTAATTTTGAATTGAAATGTATTAATTTGTAAAATTTAACTATTCACATGCTTTGAGAATATTATTTAATATTTTCTTGATAATGATCTTGCACAGCTAGAGTTTGATCACATATTAAGAGTAAAATATGTCTGAATTTATAAGTAAAGCAGACATGATACCACTTTCTTTAATGAAATTATACTTAACTTATAACAGAATGAAGTTAGTGTTGGAATGTTAACTTCAGAACTAGGAGAGGTGAGAAGTGCTGGTAAAACTACTAATCAACTTTCAGTATCCAACATAGGGACTGTATCAGTTCTTAAACCTACTTCTCCATTAGATCTGCCTTATCTCTGGTCAGTAGTTGAAAATTAGGGATTGTGGCAAATAGTCTTAGTAGCTTTGCTATAAATACAAAACATAAAGACCACCACCACGTGGAAGAAGAATGAAATTGTGTGTCCCATTTAGGAGTGCAGCATGGTTGTACCACACAAGTGAAATACCACAGTTTACTTTGATATGACCACAAAATACCCTAACCAAGTATGTCTTTCTGGTATTAAAAAAATAATAATCAAGAAAGATAAAATCCTCCTTATCTACCACCACTTCAGCCACAGTGATGCAGATATACTAATCATCACCTACTAGTCAATAACCAAGAATCTCAGCCTGGCACACATTACACAAATAGCAATCAAATTCTCACAAAAAAAGAGTAAACCACTGGCCAATTAGTATTTCTTGAAATTCATTGATGAACAATATTTGAAAAACAAACAAACATGGAATCATTCTTTAAAACCTGGAATAAATATTAATCTTATTTTCAATAACTGCTACATTTCAAATTCTTCCATTAACTGAAAGGATTTCTTGCCTTAGTGTATCATGAAAAGTTTCCTTGCATAAGAATTCCCAAAGGGAGTCAGTCATCAGAAACCTAAGTTATATATAAACAAACTTGGATTATTCAATATATTACACTCCTAACCATTGCATTATATGAAAGGTAAAGATTGACAAGTAACTTTTCAGCACATCTATCTGAGAACAGTTGGAAACCCCATCCAGAGTACTTTCATGTAAACTGGATCTTAACATTACAAAACAGTTATCCTAACAAAAAATCATACCTATCCTTGCTTCACAAACAAAAGTTTTCAACATAATATTGTTGCAGTATCTTGATACACAAATGAAAGGTTGAAGACTGATTAATAAGGAAATAAAAAATAACTCAGTTTATATAATATGAATAGAAATTGCTTAATTTTTTGGCTTGGTGTCTTAGTAGTTGTATTTATAAGGAACACCTTTGTAAAAAAAGTACAGAGTTGTATACTTTACTAATACTATGTTTTTATGTCTTATAACTCATACGTTATTGTAAATATTAATTTACTTACCACAATATTTTATCATAGTTACATCACACAAAATTAGAACGTAACACATATTTTTCACTATGACTTATCCACTCTAAATCTCCTGCTAAATAAGTAAACTAAGGAGGACACTGAAGGTTCCATCTTTAAAATGTTGTATTGTTTGGCTCTAAATTGTTAAAAAAAACTTCATTATATGAATATTCTTCCTTGGAAAGTTGCAGCATACTACTCTAGCCATAGGTGTAACACAGCAGCATTGCACTATCAGTTGGTTGGAATTTACTAGCATCAAATATATAAGTCCTAAACATGTTGTCAAGCTCACATATGCAATGACATGTCACTGCATTAGCATTTACAAATCAATCATTCTTATAAACTGCAATTAATCCTCTGAACTGCCTTCAATTGAGATGAAACTCAGCCCTTGTGGAAACTACAAGGGTTACTTGCACTTGAAATTACTCTCTCCATCATTCATTGTGCTTAACCTGATGGCCATGATTATGTATCTTTAACAGACAGTGCAACTTAAATTGTAACAATGTTCTCGGAAGGACAATGAGATTAATATTAGATAAACATTACAGTTTCTTTAACCATACTTATTATGAAAATCAGTGTTGGTTTCATGAAGTGGCTGGCTGAAAGCATGTAAACTTTTCATTTCAAATTCCTTTTATTATTTTGTTAATAGTATCATGAGATATGTACAGCTTCACTGTGAATATTTATTAGGTTGGAGAGTTTTCTTTTCTGACCATAACTTTCACTTTGCAAATGTAGTTTTTGAGCCTGTTGCTGTCCTAAACACTCTGTCTATAAGGATTTCTCCACTTCTATGGAGAACCTAATGGGTTCTGTTCTTTGGTATACCGTGCTCTTTAGCTCTACATGGTTTAACAGTTTCACTGTATGAATATCCTTCATCAAGACAGACTGTGACATTCATCCCTCTAGCTAAAAGTCTACTGACAGCATTACACTGTAAATTTGTGGGGAATTTGCTGTGAACCAAATATGTAGGTGCTAAGCATATGTTTCGTAGCACCATGGATCACATTATGATGCCATGCCAAAACTTTAATACCTCACAGATATAATTCTTATATGGTATGGATTAACCTTTTGTACTTTACTGGTTTCAAATAAGATCAAGTTTCAGCCTCTATGATGATTATAGTATTGGCCTTTAAACTACAACAATTTTAGTTTTCATACCAGAATGAAGATTCGTTCTTTGGAATTCTTTAGTATTTTCTAGATTACATTACAAAATGTGTCAGAGTGTTTTATACATTCAGGACACAAGTGAGAAGTTTGTGTATAAATAGCCTGACTGAACCATGACTTAAGATTTATATATATGTAATAAACAAACTACTATTGTATTTACTAGTAAGTTTGGTTAAAAGTTCATAAATTTTTCATATAGTAAGTAATGTATTTGTATATAAAAATGCTGCTAAAGGATTGTACTATGAAAACTGCAAACAGAGGAGTCATTACTGATTGCTGTAAATGGATTTATGGTGTCTCGCATAAAATGTACTTTACAAATAATTCAGGTGATACAGAAGAGAATTTTTTTTCCCTAATTTCCTAGCTAATTGCTGAAACTCCCCAAACAACATTTATTCAATCTTGTAATGTAAATGCATGCAGATACTATTTTTTTTACACAAGAATAACCTATAGCATTAATAAGGGCACATGACAAACATAAATGTATAATAATTACAGGAAGTTATTTACATATAAAACTCCTCAAATATGAAATAATTCACTTTATTTTGACAACTTTCAAAATATAAATGAAAAATTCACATTCATACATAAACTTTATAAATACAAACATTAAGAAATAAAGCATTTTATATAAACATATTGAATTATTTACAATCAAGAGATAATTTAGTGATAAATATGCATAAGCATCCAGTAACAATGATAAGCACTTTAGCTGTTGACTAGAACAATAATTTAGATAAAATGTGATTGATGACAAATTATATTACTACCAAGATTGAAGGACTCTATATATGTATGAAAAAAAAAGTCAAGTGTACCAGAATCTTTAGGACATTTTACTCTTACCATACTTCAGTAGTAATCTATTAAAAGAACAACAACTTCCAATTCAGAAGATAAAGTTATATAGATGGGCAATGTAAGAAAAAAATTTGATTTTGATGTTTCAGAAGAAATACTTCACTTAATCCACTAATTCAAACTCTATCAATGGATCTGTCTGAAGTCTGACTCAGATCCTCTCTCAGAGTCTTGGTCTGGATTATTCTCTTCTTCTGCTGGTTTATCTTTTTTTGTAAAAAAAGAAAAAAGTTTAAATACAATTATTTGCTTCAAGTTTAACTTTCTTTAAAAGGGGGGCAAAAACAATTATATTCTTTTCTGAAAACAATAAAAAACAAGGAGTAAGCAGTTATTCACTTCTAATCCCGGTTTATTATACAAAGAAAAAAAACAACAACAAACAAAGCAGGATTTAAACACCTATTCTCTTCTAATTATCAACCAAAGAAAACAAAAGTTTGAACAGAAAGATATTTGGTTCTAGTTTATCTTCTGAAAAGCAACACAAAACAGGGTTTAAATAAACAGACATTGGGGCATCAAAGTAGATAGATGTTTTTTTATTCTAACAATAAATAATTGTGAAGTACAAAAGATATTACTGATGTACAAGTAATGTGTTAAGTAGACACAAACTTTTTTGAACAAATCATTCAAAGCAAACAATTTAGAGTTGAAAACATTAGCATTACTTTAGGAAATAAGATTTAATAATAAAAAAAGGTGTTTTATGAACAACAAGTATAGGACCAATACCCTATACTTAACAATAACACAACAGTTTATTTCTATAATATATAAATATTTTATTTATTTCAAGATAATTCTTTTGGCAAGATTTCCAGTAATGGGACAAATTTTATGATTATCACCAAGTGAAAAATTTACTTTTATACAGAATATTAAAAGATTATTAACAGAAATAGCCCAAACAGAAACAAGCCTATTTATGGTGCAAAAAACTATTTTGTATTGTGATTGTTATATCAAAGTAAATGTAACACCTATACAAGGTACAAAGCACAATCATGTATAGTAGTTTTGTTCGTTATACCTTAGTGAATGAAATACACTTATATAAGGTATAAAGAACAGGCTTCTATAGTAGATGTTTTATGGACAGACTTTATGAATGAAAGTAAAGCAGAATATGTTATAATATCTCAACCACAATACACCTACCATATCCACTACTGACTAGGTCATTCTCGAAATAACAGGGCTTATCAGGCCAACTGGTACACAACAGACATAACAGTGTCCTAGATTAAGTAAACTTCATAATTACAATTAACTTAAATGATTAACTAATCAGATTTTTAGGGTAATGGCTAATATCACAATGTTACTTATTTTGTATTTAACATCAAGTATTTATCATTTTTATTTTAAGTAATTTTATCATTCAGAAGAATTGACAATTCCAGCAAGCTAGTCTTTTGTTCTTGGAGCATGTCAAATAATCACATCAATAGGAGAAAACTATATTGTAATTCTAAGAACTTACGAGTGAAAATCAGAATATGTTATCATATGTCAACCAGAAAAGAAATTGTTTCAATCATTAAGTGTGGATTAAAGATAATTTTTAAACCTTTACAAAAGTGACCTCAATCTTCTGAAGTGCTTCAGTTCCTTTGCTTTGATCTTTAAGACAAATAGATATGCAAGATAAAAAACAACTTGATAAAATAGTGAATTAACTTCAAAAATAAAAATATTACCTGCAAGCAATATCATGTTAAAATGGTGTACATTTTCCTGGATATTTTAACTATATTAATCCAAATTGTAATGTTTGAAAAAAACATTAGCATTTAGGGACTTTTCAGGATTCTATTTAACTTTCCATACATAGGCTCAGTCATTTTGACCAATCTTTTAATCATGATTGTAACAGAAAATTTCAAAGTATTTTTTTAAAGAGCCTCAGGCTTAATAACAGTTCACATTCTTTTTATTTAGTTATTGTTTTATTACTCTTTGAACTGTGTAACTATTAAGCATATGTAACAAAGCTATAAACACCTGGTGAGTGTATAGACTAAGTTATGGTAAATCCACAGAATGCACAGAAAATACAATGTCCTATAATTATTATAACTTAACTAGATTTTATTAAAATATTTCCCTTCCTTAGTTGAGGAGAACTTGGCAATTGCAACTTTGAATCTGTAGGCCAAACAATTTAAATGCTGTCATCGGAATGAGCTAACCTATTACATAGTTCAGTAAATTAAAAGCTTCTTTTTCTATTGGATATAAATAATCCAATAGCAAATGACAGAGATAACTGACATTTTTTTAAAGACAGTGCATTACATGAGGATGTGGCATGTGGGTTTGACTATCTGGTTTATATTTCTGTACATAAAAGACGATAGACGGCTATAGAATTAGATTAACAATAGCAATATCTAAACTACAACTTTTAAATTTGTATTAAAACTCAGAAGCTGAAACAAGAGTGGAAAGAATATCTAAACTGAGCAATTTGAAGCAAACAAGTGTCACGTGATATAAAGAAGTGAATATGAAAATTTTCTTGAAATATATCATTTTAAAATTAAGAAATTAAGATGTATTTAATATTAAGATTTAATTTACTAACTAAATTTTGTTGCCAAATTTTTGAAATACATTGATAATAAAGTAAGTTGATTAAACTTTGAAAGTAACTCTGTATAAAGATCATGCTCGCTTTAACCCACCCATATCCAGAGGGTTAAGGAGAGACAGATTTTAAATTTTCAGTGTTTAGATTTAAAAAAAAATACCAGCTAATGATGAAAATAAGATCTAAAAGAACAGTCTAGAATATCACATACTACTACACATGCCTTATTAAACAAGTTTTCAAGCTCAGTTAAGGCCTATACAGCAACACACCCATGCTCAGACCATATTACAACATGCACATTACAATTCCAAGTTGTGTTACGTTTCTAGGTCTATACCTAAATAAATAAAATCAATTTGCTGCTGCTGTCTGAAGTTGTTAAATCTAAATTTCAAGATTCAACTTTAGAATGCAAAAACTAGAGGAGGAGGAAAGGTCTTTATCAGAAACATCTCTTTGCTATTGATTGTTTGGCAAGCCTTTGTGGTTCTATCTAGAAAATCCAACTTCAGTAGCTGCTTTGTATAGAGTCCAAAGTTTTTATCTCTGTAATATTACTTATGTTAAATATAGGTTCATCCACTTACACACACTTGTTAGATGTTGCAAAACATTATTGTAACTGTACCTTTATAATGCCAATATGATACTTCCTGGTGTCACACAAGCAAAATGACTAAGATTTTGACCATTTTAAAGAAATACTAGTTTGAAAATCAAAGTAAAAATTGAATGATATAGAATTATTTTTGGTTGCTACATTGTTATATACAGTTAAGAGATAGAGTATATATATTAAGGTAACTTATAATTAACTAAATTGGTTTTCTATAAGTGAAGTATCATGAAATACATTTACCATCATCTCTGTTTCGCTTTTTACCACGATACTGTCGGCCAGGAGCTCTAGCCATTGGTGGTTCCTGTTCACCATGCACAAGACTGTTTCGATAAGACAGAAGAGGTTGCCAATGATCTGCTCGTGATCCAGGCATGTTAGTCTGAATGTGACGGTCCAAGTAAGCAAGTCTAAAAAAAGAAAAGATATATATAGTTTTTGGTTGATAAAGTTTGAACATCAGTTGTACTCAGCTGCTACTTTCCTATACTAGAAACTTTCAAGTTGCTACAGCTGATTTCATCAAAAGTTGTAAACATGAGGTTATAATTCAACTTCTCAAATTTTAACAAAAATCAATAAAAATACTAAGTGACAAAAACACATGCACCTATTTTTTAATTGTCAAGTTTGTGCACAAGGAAATCAACAAATTGTATATCTTGCATTTTAAACTTATTCCTCAACTGCACTTTTGTTTTTATCACTTAAAATCAAAGAAATCAGATTCAAGGAGCACCACGGTAATATGGGTAGAGGTGAATTTGAGAAATATGCCTAAACATAAGACAATTTTGAATGAAATCTCTATTCTATACCAAACTCAAAATAAAAAAGAAAGAAACTACTTTGAAACGATATAAATTATTAACCCTCTTGCTACAAGCTTGGTGGATTACACTGAACTCATAACCCCAAAGTGACCAGTTTCCATACTACAAAACTTTTAATATGTTTGTGTATCTTCATGAAATTTTTATAGTTTTAGTAAGCGTTGCAAGTCTTTTGTAGATAAAAAAAATTTAATAAAGTATTTTTACTAAAATTTATCCATGAATATATGGAGTCGGAGTGCTTACTGCTTTAAGTGAAAAGTAATTTTCACTTTATGATTAAAAATACTTATAGTAATTTTCATATTTCATTTGTGTAATCTCTAAAACCTCCTAAATCAATATCAATATCAGAGAGAAAAAAATTATGAAAATCCATAACTCTCTGAACACTACTTTTTCATATTAATAGTAGTAGTGCACTAAATAATTTTTATTTAATAAAATAATGCAACAAAGAACATAAAATAATAACATGCAAAATCAGACATTGCACTAAACAAAATGGAAAAAAGCAGACAATATCCCATAACTATCACAATTTTTCTGGTGTTTCTAGTGACGCAATATGAACCGTTAAAATATCATCCATCTACACAAAATCATTCCTGTGGGAAAAAAACATTTTCTTAGGAAGTGATCTACAAGTTTCTGTACAGAAAACAACAAAATATACTATGTCAATTGATAGACAAAAATCTTGCCTGTCTATTGGGTATAACTAATATAGTAGTAAACGTAAGAATAAACTACATATATTGACAAATCCTGAAAGAGAGGATGTGACAGGAAGGGTCTGATTTTCTATTTGATGGCTCTGTAACTAAACAAGATTGAAGGCCATTAAAAATTTGCTTTTTTTTCCAGCAATGAAGATATTATAGTGAGTAATATACATTAAATTTACCAGTAACTAAATAAAGCACTTATACATCACTCACAGGTAGGAGACAATGCCTTCACTTACACATCTCCATATATGTAGTGTTAAAATGACCCTGTTTAGAGCTGATTCATTTAGAGCTCTGTTCTCAGGAACCTTTCCTAAGTATTAAACAGGGTATTACTATATAGAAAAAAGAAAATTTCTTTCAGTGATGTAAAATGCCTAAGCCGATGAAGCAATTAGGTTTTTAGGTATAATAGCTGAGTAAAATAATGTGTGATTGTAGATGTTTTTTACATTCCTTATAATTTGCCTATCACAAATTTTGAATCATTTTAAAAAATAGCATTTTGGACCCATCTTTTGTCTTCTATAAGGCATTGCCTAGGAGACTATTTTTTTAATGCCAAAATTCATCAGCTGACAGACAAAACAGGACATTTTATCTTTTATTAAACATACTTCTGATATGAAATTTGGAAGTAATAGACTAAGTAAGAGGAAAGCAAAAACTAAATGCATAACTTTGACAAGGTTTTCTTCAATTTTAAATCAAAGCAGCTGTTTTTATTTCTCTCAATAAAACAAACTCTGACTTTTAAAGTTTAACTGAAAAATACAAAGTAAAATATACCCTCCAATTTCAGACAAATATATCATCTGATATATATGTAAAAGAAGTTAAGACTAATTTTTAATATGCTCCAATTCATAAAATAACATCAACAACAACAAAAAAAACAACATTCATTATAGATTGTTTTGAATTTTTTTTTAAAAGTTCATTCATCTATTCACTTACACTACTTTTTTGTCAAGTCTCATCAACTTATTAGTAAATTCACAAAGAACTTCCAAAAATGGTAGGTTTGGGGGAGGGCCAAGCGGGTCAGCTGGGTTTTCGCTGTTACTAACAGCAAACAAGATTCCCTCTCGATGTAAAGCAGCCACAGCCTCTCGATTTTTTAATTGATCAAGGCCAAAAGAGAGAGAAAATCTCTTGGCTAATTCCTAGAAAATGACAGGTTAAAAAATTCCCATCTTAACAGAGAAATATTGGAAGCTATATCTTTCTACATAATAAAATTACATTTTAATATATATAAAATGTTATTAGTATCTATGTTGCTATAACCTAAAAACAACTAGCTATCAGCTGAAAGGTAACTTTTAATAAGTAATCTCACAGTATACATTATTCTCATTGTTTGATTGTTTGGGATTTATAGCTCAGATCAACAAGGCTATTTGTACATACAACTTTTTTTAATGTTAATAACAGTCAAAGAAAGTGAATTAATAGAAATAAAAATTAAGGTATATGAAGTGTCTTCATTTTTTAAAGAATATAAAAATGAAATAAGATTTTTTGTAGGCCATAAATATTTTTAATCTTAACATATGGTCAAACTGGAAAGTGTCATCATAACCAATGACACTGTTTAATGTGAAAATGACAACATGAATACAAAAGTGTCTGAAATGGAGTTGTCTGTTGTCACTGCTCATTGTAGCTGTAAAAATAACACGTGGGCAATTGTGACTGAAGTGTCACACTGCTCACAAAAATTGGCAATTCATTCCCTTCTAAGAGAAAATTATGGTGTAAAAAAACTATGGCGAATGAAGAGCCTTGTAAGGACAATTTTCTTCCTACAATTACTACACAAATTAGATGGTGAATCAGTGTTAGTAAGATTTATCAGGAATAGCCTGTTGTGTAGCTATTTACCTCAAATCACTCTGCCTTGAAGAAAGGCTGATAATGCACCCAAAGAAAAGGCAAACTGATGACATCACCACAGGAGGCTGATTTAATTAGTCTCGGCAAACTTATTCCCACGGATTTTGAAGTGGCCATGAAGTGTATGGAGTTAGATGATACTAAGATATAGGCCAGCACTTTTTGAATATCCAAAAGAAATGGGATGAAACTGATGATAAGCAATTTGAGAACCTTCAAAGAACTTATCAAATTGGTAGAGATGGTACATATAGTTTACCTCTGAGCCTCTATGTAATTCATAGTAAGAGCTGCAGTAAGTCATAGCTGAGCCCACATCATTACATGATTTTGAGCCATCCCTAAAAATAGGAACAAAAGGATGGTTCAAAATGTGTTCATCAAAAAGAGGTCAGTACTTCCAGTAAAGATTATCCAACTTCTTCAGGTGACTCAAAGAAAGATCAAAAATGGGGATAATAACAAACCATGATGGAATGGGCTGATCATTGAATTCAGCAATGCCATTTATTGTCACAACCACCTCAGTTAAAACTTGCCTGCACACAAGGACAAATGTTGGGACAGCAAGCTGCCTAATAGCAAAAAGCATAGCCACTAAAAAGTGAGAACACACTGCTAGATGGGATGCTGTGGCAGTGATCAAAGCTTTGCAGCATACTACAAAAATATTTCCTAAATCCGAGGTGAAGATTCATAAGATTCTAAATACAAACACTGGATTACAGAAAACCTAAAGCCCATGTGCAGAACCAAATCCTCTCATGATGCATGGGATCCAACATCTTCAATACACAGTCCTTGGCTAAAGCATAGACCAAAGATCCAGTTCCAGTTTAGACTAAATGAGGGCATGATAGATTTTGAGCAGAAAAAACTCCCAAAAGAGACGAAAAAGACGATGTTCAGTGCCCTTGTTCACGACTTCAAGCTGCTTTATGAGTGGAATAAAGTCTGCTTATTGTTAATGAGGAATCTTAACAACTTTGTCTGAACCACCACAGATGAGCTTTGGATCAAGGTACAATCACTGTTGGTGGCAGAATGCACACACTTTTTAATGGCATAGATTGGAAACTGTTTGTAGTGTCTCTCTCATACACAATCAAACAATTTATTGAATGCAGTTTGGAGATGCCACTTAACATACCTCACTTTTGGTAACCAATAAGGTGAACAGATTTCCAAACCCCAAAAACCGAGACAGCCCAGCCCTTACCTCTGATTTCAAAATAGCCCTTGTGCTTTTTCTTGGCAGTGTAATTCGTAATGTCTAATCTGCCACTGTGTGCTATCAAAAGCACAGCTTTGTAAGTGCAACCCCAAGCATGCATATGTCAGGCAAAAGAGTTGAACACTTGACTAAAAGACACATGGGGCTGAAGCAAGCCCAAAGGGCAGGGTGCAAAATTGATAAACTATTCCGTGATGAACAAACCAAAGATAGAACCTTGACAGATAAGATATTGGAATACGCAGATAATCATTCTCAATATGTACTTTGGTCATCCATAAAACTGGAGAAAAAGCTCACCCGAGGATCAGAAAAGATTCCATGGTAAATCGGAGCAGAACCAAAAAGTGATTGAGGTCTGTAAATCGATTACAGGCTGCCAGTCCCTGATTTTCTTGGGAACCACAAACAGCCTGGAATAAAAAACCTGGAGAAGGATGAGTTACAGGTTCGATGGCTTTCTGGGAGACAGACATTGACTGGTGGTAGGAGGTAGGATCCTGAGGCAACAGAAAGGATATGGGTACTGGAGACAATAGAGGAGGAGAAAGAAGTGGACGACAAGTCCCTCAGATAATACCTGAATAACATATTGATCTGTGGTAAAAACTCATCATAGGGGAAAAAAATCAGTCAATCGAGCCCCCACTGGGTAGTTGTCAGTACTGTTGTCAATGTCAATGTGTCCATCAGCATAGATTAATATGACGAGAGGAGGAACAGGTAGAAACTGATAAGGAGTAGGACAGGAAAAAGTGATATGGGCTTGTCTAGGCTCAGGATGAGTTAAATGATCTACCAAAGATGAAAGGTTCAATTTCTGTCTCCTTGATTCCACATATGATTCCAAAGTCTCAGAAATATTTCTGAAAACAGACCACTGGAGAAAGGGGGGCCCCGTACATAAGTCCCAGAGATAAGTATGTGGTAAAAGAACTTGGAACAATACAACAATCTTCCCAAGAAAATCCCAACAACAGAGAAACCATGTGTGCAAGGAAAGAGCCAAAGAAGACAAATGTGCTAGAACCCTCAACCAACTCAGAGACAAAAAGCTGTGCACAAACCCTAATACCAGGGGAAGGGGGGAACACAAAATACTGAGAGGAGAGGGTATCATGTAACAAAGAAGGAAAGGAATCATAAGAAATTGAGGAAATGGATAAAACAAAACAAACAAGAAAAATCACATCTAAAAAAGCCATATTAGACCTAGCTACTTTTGCAGTAAGAGCATAGGAAGACATGGCAAAATCAGGTGGAGGAAGAAGGCTGTCAAATTCCTTGTCAGTTCAAACAGGTTTGGCATCAGTGCAGGATTTCGACTTGGTAAGGCCCTAAGCTATATAAAGCTTGGAGGCCCCTTGTTAAAAAGATACACCAGAAGGTCTCACAAAGGTACGTACCAAAACAGGACCTTGGGTCGCCACAAAAAAGTAAAAACATATATATGCCTCTTAATTATTTAATTGCAAGGTATTTAACTGAAAAAATACATATTTATCATTTGGCAACATCAGAAGAAGCAGATTGAGTCATATAATGATCAATCTCAAGGCAGAAGAGCTGATAATTCCATAGCCCAGTTACCCCCACCTACAGCCTGTGTAAAAGTGTTGGTAGACGGTGTTACCTCCGAAGTTGTAACTTGAACTTCGGAATTCATTGCTCACAATGATTGATCAAAGACAAAAGTGTTAGATTATAGAAATTAAGCTGGGAAAAAATACGTTCTCTTTAAATTTGCAAACTGTTTTAAAACTGAAAAGAACAATTTCACTTCAGAATGAATGGCAAAAACAAAAAAAAGCACTAAGTTTAAAGAAAAAACATGATTGAAAAGCACAATAAAAAAAGACTTGACACAAGCACTGCCAAACGAGAAGTGGTAATTCAGTAGAATTTAATAGAGGGAGTCACATGCGTCAGGAGGGTGTGTCAAACTCCTATTAGTGGATGGTTGTTGCATGATGATTTATATGTGAGATGCAGTTGAACCATGTTGAACATAGGATACGTGGGAGCTCAAGGCTTGTGGCATGTGAAAAACGTTTTGCATATAGAAGGCAGCACTGAATGAGAATATCTACTTATGTGAAAGGAGGTAATGCACTGTATCAGAAATTGATATATTCCCTACTATTTAAGAGAGAGAAAGGTTATGACCCGAGAGTATATACTCCACAGATCAACCCCTACCATCAATATCTCCACCACTCCAGAGCAGAATATGTCCATTTAAGTCTCCTCAATAATAAAGGAGAGGACATCTGCTTGTTAAGATCATCAAGATCTACTCAACAGATTTCTTCATGTGACAGTAAAGAGAACATACTTTGAAGGTATGACTAATGGAGACATGGATGGCAATGGCCTCTGAAGGTTTAGTAAGTGGTATATTCATAAAGAAAGTATGCTAATAAACCTGCAGTTCTACACCCCTATGCACCCCCATATTACAGAGCCTGTACTTTCTGAATAATGAATAGTGTCAAATGTTGACATTGCTGAAACTTTCATAAACATTCTCCTGTAAACACACACACACACAGAATGATGAAAATAAATCAAGGCCATGAGGTCTTCTAAACTAGCATGAAAACCTTGACAGTTTCACTGAATCAGCATGACCATTTTCACCCTAACTGTTGAGGAGATCTAGGTTTTGACTTACATCTACCCTTCTCTTTAGTAGTTCTACTGACCTTCTTGGACCCTGCCTAAGAATGAAGGAGCAGGTTCCATTCAGATGGTTGGGATTGCAGACAGTGAATGTAGGACTGAATAAGGTTCTTGCACATTGAGACTGATGGAACTGTTCCTAGCTGCTCAGCAGTGTTACTAGTAGGAGCAGAGATGGGATGAAAGTAGACTGATCCACATGTTTGATCATGGAGTGCAATAGCGTGTATGCATGCACAAGCGGTTGGAAAAAGATTCTGAGAACCATCTGTGTATGTGGATGAATGCACAAGACTAAGAAACAGATTGATGTTGTGTAATGAAAATGCACCTGCACATATTTCATCAGAAATATCATGTAACTAATTAATTTACCACACAAGTCACTGGTTATGTAGATTTTTCACTAATGTAATGACACCAGGTAGTATCCAATGTTCCTTTGGTTCAAGATCAGGATCTTGCATTAAGTTTATATCTTCTTCTTCTGACCAAAATGATGCAATTTTGGTATTCAACCTAACATTCACATTTTGAAGCTGAAACTTAAGTTTTAAAGACAGATTTTAAACAGAAATATAACAATCTGAAAACAAAAACAGAGCAGGAATAAATATTGATAATGTGCATGAACAATATTTCCAGTTCAAATATACCTATGTGCTATTATTGAATTGTAGGCACTACTACAGCAATAACAAAATTCAATTTTTTCATACTTTAAGTAGTAAAATATTTCTAAAACAGATATTATGAGATCAATGCTTATGTGCATGCTACAAAAGTACTTACAGTATTCTCTTGACTTATTATTAACTGCTTTTAGGTTATAATTCCCCTTTAATTATTAGTTTGCATATAATTATGAATGTTTTATTTTCCAGAACATTCATAATTACATGTAAACTAATAATTTTTAGAAATTCAATCTTACACTTCCATGGCTGCATAATAAAGTATTTATTTTTGATATGAAGTTAGAAAAAATATAGAAGTTTATTTGAACTTCTTTCTGTTTGCTAGAATAGCACAGAATGAATGTTTTAGTATGAAATAGTCTCAAATTTACATTTCACAATGTGATATGACATTATGAAAATGTAAGTACAGACCAGTGCTCCAGATAAGCTTTCGATTTACTCCTTGAAATAAACTACAATACTAAAATACAAAGTTAATGCCAAAAAAAATTCATGTTTTCAGGTTTCAATGAGCTATCTTGTCACCCAACAGCTGAAATTTTGGTGCCGTTTTGCCATGTTTACTAGGCACTTTATATTCTTAATTCTGTATGAACTTCCTATTTAGAACCACCAGAGGCAATTACAGCACAAATTCAATACAGTATGCACTTTATTGACATCACCTGCCAAAAGTAGAGTAATATAATTTTCAGTTCTACAGTAAACTTGAACTACAGGTAATTGTCATATAACTTGTCAGTGAGAATGACCTATCATGCTTTGCATTATTACTGATACAGCATATATATTTTCTTTCCAACTGGCAAATATGCACATATACATGAATAACATATACACTGGTGAATACTATATGCATCATGTATGCAAAAGTTTTATTTCTAATGCATTTTTTTTTACATAAAAAAATGCATTTATATGGATATGCATCTTATCTGGAGCACATAGCACGTGTTTCGCTCCTCTCATCACTGAAAACACAATTGTTAAAATTCATGTTATAGAAACTGCCTCTTACCCTAATGGCACAGAAGTTGTCATCGTTTCGGTTTATTAATCCTGTATTCTGCTCAGTTTGCAGCTCTCTGAATAAGGTGGTGAGAGACAAAGCCATAGTTCGGGCACAGTTTACCTTATTTATCTCCCTTGCTTTCCCAAGCGTAGCTTTAATGATGTCTCCATAATCATTATAAAACTGAAAGAAAAATTCATATTTCTTGCTATTTAAAAATTAACTGAAAAAAACATTATTTCTTAATCACAGTTGATTAACATTACTGTTAACAGTCAAACTACCAACTTGTTATATATACACACACACATATTCACTCACAAACACACACACACACACACACATACATACATATATATATATATATATATATATATATATATAGAAATAAAAAATAGAAAACAGGCAAAGAAATGCTGGGTGAATTCCCTCATTTTATCTGCAGAATAGAAAGAGGAAAAAGACAAGCAATAATTAGTGGAATTCACTGCATAATATTGATATAGTTTAAAAATATAATTTTATATACAATTCTCATGTTATTACAGACCCGATAACCAAAAACTTCATGGCTTTGCAAGTAAAATGGTGAATATATAATTTAAAAAATGTTTTTCAAGAGCCAATGGGATCCATATCAGTAATTCAATGGTTAATTCCATCAGTAAGTCAGTGGTTAATGCAAACAGAAAGCCATGTAAGTAAATATTTAACTGACAGTTTTGAGGAACACAAATATTTATGAAACAAAATATATACAGCAAAAATTGTTTTAAGACTGTTTACATAAGTATGAAATTAACACAAATATTAAAATATCAATGTGAGCAAATACTGTTATTAAAAAGAAAGAAAAACAACAAAAACTTGCAAATTTTTTAAGTTGATGTAAACTGTTGATGTGATAAAGCTTTCAGCACAGTGTAAAAACTTTCTGTAAAACTGGCTACTCTTTCACAAATTAGCCAACAACTACTTACTCTGACATAATGTTTGAAAATATCAGCTGCTTGTTTGATACTGATGACATTATAAACAATTAGCTTGCAAAATGAGGCCAAGAAATTTCTCCTCTTGTGTAGTTCTTCAATTTTACTGTGTTCATCCTTCTCATCTGGAATATATAAAAATGGTGTTAACTAATTTTGAAACCAAAAGAAAACATGAGAATAATATATTAAACCTCATGATGTACACCAAATAATGATGTAAAAACAGCCCAACAACTTCATAAGATACATCAAAATGACTCCTGTAATAAAAACAATAACTATACTATTAACATAATTTTATAACTTTACCTCATTATTAACTACTATCATTAAGCAAGAAACAAAAAAATGATTTACTGGGCATACATGTTACCTTCATCAGGTTTAGCTGTTGGAAACAAACTGTACAGCTGTTAAGAACATGTGTTCAAAAGCTAAACTTGATGAAAAGCATTCACCAAACCTTTGCGAAAAGCATTACATAACCAAACGTTTTTGTAAGACATGTGCAGTAAATCACTTATTTTTTTCAGGCGCTTATCAAAATGCAAGTTTCTTATCACACATTTGATGAATAAATGTAGAGTAATTATACTCTAAAACTTATCATCAAAATTCTTATTAAGTACAAAACTTGAAAAACCACACAATGAAATTTCAAAAATACTAATTACTTAAAGCCTAACATCAATATACTATTTAAACATACAAGAAGCCTCTTATACATCACAAACATTTCTAAGTATGTGTAGTGTAAACTTATTTCAGTTTCCCTTGCAACCCTTACAAATAAACATATATCAACATTAGAATCTTTCTTAACTATTACCCATACTCACACTTACCATCATCATCTTCTATAAAAACTTTGTCTTGTACAAAGGCTCCAAGCTGAAGCTGGAGAGTCTTATCTGGTTTATAGACTAATGAACCCATAGCATGTTCTGAGGTTTCAGCCAATTGCTTAGAAAAAATAATCAGCAGATCACAGATAGTGATGAAAGCCTGAAACCAAGTCAAAATGTGATTTATTTCAAGTGAAGTAACAAACTCTTCCACCGTGTTTCACCAGAATACAAACACTATGGAAAACATTTAAACCAAATTCTACTTGATATCCTTTCCAACTCTAATATGAAAAGATACAGAAAATATACATCTTAGAAGCTCACAGTAAAGTCTTTTGATATCTCTTTGGTATTCTAATCTTGAGAATTATACTTAAAAGTTGAGAGATTAAGAGCAAATTTAAGATTTCTCATGAATGTCCAACAGATTCATCTTTGATAGTGTTTTCATAAGAGTATTTTGTTATTCAAGGTAGTTTTACAATGCCGATTTGTATGAGAATGTAGATGTGTAGGTACAGTGTGTGAATGTTTGTACAGATACATACAGTTTCCACCAGGTTTACCCATTTAAACAGCTTGTAAACATTATATTCACTCATTAAACAATACTTTTAATAGACACTAGAACACAGGAACATCAAAAGCTCTACACAAAGCTTTTATGATGGGTGGGGGACCTTATTTTTGACAGTAAGAAACTTGAATAAAATTTTAATAAGCAAGTTCAATTTTATACTAATACTTTATCAGAATTATACAAAACACACCACTGCTCTTTATATTCAAGTCCCTTAAATAAGCATGCTATATAGACCAGTAAGTTTGGCACACAAGTTCACAGTGCCACTGTCCAGTCAAGCCAATTTTGTTTTTTCAATTTAATGCAATAGGAAAGCTTCAAATAAGAACAAAGTTGTTTTTCTCAAGTATATTGTGATAAAGGAGACATTATCATATAATATCTTTAATAAAGTATGCTAAGTTTTACAACAACAACAAAAAAAAGCAGTAATATTGAATGCCACTTTTCCCATCTGCAAGATAAACCCATAAAATACTTATTTGAAATAAATTTGTAAACAAGTTTTATGGTTGCAAAATATCAGTTATCTTTAGATTTTATCCAATTTTATTCATAGAAACCACTGTTGAAATATATTACACATGCATAACTTGCTGCTATGAATAACGATCATAAGATCATATCTTAACCTCTTCCTGGTAGGCATCATCATGATGATTCAACAGTTCTCGCATCATCTCCATAAACTCTTGTAATTTACTCTGTAAACTGTGCACCTGAGCCATTTTGGGACTAGTGTCATCTAAAGCAGCTAACTCCCACATCACCCCCATAGAACAACATGATATGGCATGCCGAACACCCTATTTAAGAAGATATTTTTATCATTTATCTAAAACATAAACAATCATTGATATTCATCTTTACAAAATTAAGAAAAGATTTCATAGTTTCATGTTGATAACCATTACTGTTCCTTATGGTCAAGTCTTACATTAAACATTTAGATAAAAAAATGAAATACTTTTTAGACTACAACATGTAATAAATAATAATCACTGCTGAAAATGTATGTAAGCTTGGCATTGTCTAGCAGATAGGCCAATTTGGCCTCTTACACCTAAATGGACAAAGAGCACATGGGGTTCTACATTTGTTTCACCTTGTACAACTTTTAGTTTTAGTAATAGAACAAAATCCTAAAAAGTAAATATTTCATAACATTCTCTGCCATAAAATAAACTTATGGGAAAGAAATGTGTTCATTATATTTCAAAGGCTTTTATCAAAATTTACTTAAAATATGATTTCCACATTTGTAACTTAAAGACAAAGAACATGTGTAAAGTTCTTAAACTCATCCTCACTGACTACATAAAGGTCATTCTGAGTTTTACTTAACTTTTTCTTGTATGTGTGTGTGTGTGTGTGTGTGTGCATGTAGTTTATCCAACGTTCATCTAATGCTAGACTGGCAGCTGCATAGTGTATTAAAAAAACACAAAAAGAAATAAGTATATTTTAAAACAAACATTCTAAATTAAATATTATTATTAACAAAATCAAAAATATATAGCTCCCTATTAAGCCTAAATAAAAATCATACCTTCTTTTAATCTTTCAGAATTTTGCAGAATGTTTCACATAACTCTACATTAATAATTATTTCTCATTAGGTGACTAAAAAATAACTTTATTTTCAAAATCAGACTAATTGTGAATAACCTTTAATGTCAATAAAAAATTTCCCAACCCCACATGCCCAATTTATTTGTTGGTTTCAAGAGGAAAGTATGCAGGACTACCGAGTATTGGCATAGTTTACTAGAAATTCACTCCTACTGGACAGATTTTTCATATTAGCTCAACTATTTTCATTATATTATCTAACTTGTACTTTTAGGCAACCTGGAGATCTGTTATACCCAAGAACCCCTCAAAGTTTCATGGTGATAAGAATTTTGGAAGTAGGAACCAAGGCAGTAGCAAGAGTGAAAAGTATAATGGCTGTCAAACTTGTAAAAAAGGGGAAAACAAATAAAGTAAGGGGCTTCAGGATCCCTCTATAGCATAAACAAATCCCTGAAAGTTTTGCAGTAATAAGAAATCACAAAGTTTCAAAACTTTCATCACAGACAACAGAGATAAACTACTACATAGCAGATTTAACACCCACATTCAGACACTGTGAGTCAAATATTATTTATTGCCAAACTTCTATCATACACACTTTCTTGGATTTTGTTTTTGGTAGTTCTGTTTCAACCACCTAAGAAATAACTTAAATACACGACAACTTTGTATAGCTCACTGGCTAGCAGAAAATACAGTGATTTGTTAAAGTGATGGTACCACGTAGAAAGCTTTAACATACAGACTTAGACTGATCTTAGTTTGGATGAAAATTCTATGGACTAAATTTTCATGATCATTTTAATCTGTATATTTGTATCTAGAATAAACATTCAAACAAGCACAAATTACATATAAATGGTGTGCTCATCAATGACACGTGGGTATACTAAGGTAAGAAAAAAAGAGTTAAAGATATAAAACTTAAGGCAAAGACTACTTTTATAAAACAAAAATTTAGATGGTAGAAACTTGATTTTTATACAAACTGACTAAAAGAGATGTTGTACCACAAACAATTCACTAAGGTACATTGCATTAACTTTGCACTCAAAACAAATAAAAAACTTAAGTTCATTTACAAAAAAGGTTTGCATAATCAATTAATTTGGCTTTGCCCAAGGTTTCTGAGGCAGTATAATAAAAATCAAACAATTGAAATATTAAGGTTAAATAGAAAAATAAATATACAAATCTCAAAAATTTAGGATTGGGGTGAAAATTACATGTTAGGAAAATCCAATAAAGTAAGAAGGAACAAACAATATATCTAAAATCAGCACAGATCATCAGCTGGATAACAAGGGAAAAAAAAAAAGGAAATCAGTAAAAGAATAAACATGAAACACTTTAGATAAATCATTCTACAAGATATTCCGGAAGTAAAAATATGGTATAAATTCTGAAACATTAATGTGCTTATTTTAAAACTTTAGAAATTGCAATCATTATTATTTATCTCAAAAATTTTTATAAGTATGCTATTCTATTGTCTCTCATTTATGAAAAAAAGAAATTCAATACTGGCTAAAAATTTAACACTTCAAATCACATGAAAGCTGTAGCACATAATTGAGTATAATCTGACGAAAAAAAAATTGCTAATCTAGCATACTTTTCAAGTCAGACTCTAACATATAACTTTGCCTTCTAGCTGAATATGAGCTGCTAAACGTTTTTAGGTTTCTGATTTAATAAAAACTTAAGAGTAACAAGCAAGTTAAATTTCTAAAGTTTGAATTAATCAAATATGGTAACCAGAAACAAAATCAAAAGAGTAGTTAACTTACTTGTTCTGGAAGATCTTTATCCTCCTGAAGGGCACCCTTCACCCAGAAGTCATAAACCCCTTCCCAGATTCCCCATGGTCCTAAGTTGTGACAACTGAAAATAACAGATTTTTTTGGGCTTTCACCACTGTCCACAGAAATCAGAAAGAATTGGCTGTCATCACCTTCCCTTGGCTCAATGTTCCCCCCTGTCTATGAAAGCTACAAAAGACTTAATATAATATAAAACAGGGTTTCTAAAAGAAATTTTATTTTTCCAAGACTTTTATAAGACCAATGTAACAATTACTATTTTGTAAAATATTAAATTGTTACTGACATTGTCTTGAGTAAATGGAAACATGCTCCTATTACTCAGGTTTATTGAAAAGTAATAAAATACACACTTTTCTGGTAGTTTCTTATTACACAATTTTATGCATTATTTCATAACTAAATAAGAAGCTATCATAAACAGTGCAGGGAAGAAAGACAATTTCACGAATACATGTACAAAGTATCAGCAGTCATACAGTGTAAACAATGTGAAAAAAATGATAAAAGGTTAGTCACAATGACTGTGTGGTAATATTTTAAAACAAACAATAGACAGTTCATAAAACTTTACTTTCCAATTAAATATTTTTCCCACAGGCTTGTTTGAGGAGTTCAAAATTTAACAGTACCAAAAACAATCATTTCTGAATAAAGCAGTTTTTACCTGTAGAAAATAGAAACTTTTTTAAGGGCAGAAGTAATTGTAAAAATTTCATCTTCATCCACTTCCTCACCCTGCCAAAAAAAAAGGTAGAAAACAGTGTAAAAATAATCTCATGGCCTTGTAAATAGTATCTAAAAATTTTGTACAACCAGTAAAAAATAACATAGAAGGACAATGATAAAACTACTTCTGATCAATCTGAATACAAAGAAAAATATTAACTCTTTTTATACACAGAAATGTTCCAACAAAAGTTTAGGACTGCTTTACCAAATGTATAATGCTATTTATGTGATTGTGATGTTTAACTTACTTCTTCTGAAAATGTAAGCCAAGAACATCACAAGATCACATTTTATAAAATGGAATACATGACCATTACATTAGGACCCTCTTAAGACATATCTTTTGAAATCAAACGTTTTTGTATATGTAATAATATAGACTGATTATGAGATTTATCAGTTGACTGCTTGAGCCCTGCAAATGTAGAGATGTATTTATATCATGGTTACCCTTCAGCATCTTGTAGTCTTTGCCATGCCATGTCCTGGTAAGTCTTGCTGCAAAAGGTGGTCCAATCAACATTAAGAGGGACATTAATAAAGTAACTAGACAGTGCATTTATCTAAAGACATACTTAATAAAAAATACCAATTAGAGAACTAGTCCAATTCCTTTTTGATTACCTACGCTAATCATACCTCAATAACAGCACAATTAATTCATGAAATATTCCAAGTAATTTATTTTATATTAACAGTAGGTTATACATCACAGATGCAATAACATGCTCTTTATATGCAATTAACATCTCTAAACAATATAGCTGTACCCATAATTGTTTTTCTTTAATATTAGCATATATTGTTTTGTGAAAATTTTAGGACAAAACAGTTGGATACATTAAAAGTACTACAAGCTAACAGTCACTAAAGTTAGTGAGTTAGTTTTAAATTTTGTGCAAAGCTACACAAGGGCTATCTGTGCTAGCCGT